TTGCTTGTTTTGTGGTTTGAAATGATATTTTTTACAAGAGGGATAGAGAATTGTATCGGTAATATAAAAATAATAAATATCGTTGAATATATTAAATTATTTTTAGAGAAATGTGTGTGAGTTTTTCACAAAAATAAACAAATTCATAGAATTGTATTCTTCGATATTCATATTTGAAATTCTCATCCTTCGGTATAAAATAATACTCTCTTTCTTCACATAAAATGTTCCTCTTTTTTAGAAATAATTATACACTTTAATAACATTTTAGATTTCATAATTTATAATTTTGTTAATTTTAATTAAATTATTTAGTTGTTTCAATCTATAATTATTTTTTAGTTTCAACTCAATGTATCTGTTTTTACCATTTTCGTATATTTCATTCAAAATTATACATTTTCTATTAGAGTAAAAATAATAATATACAAATATTAAAATACACCTAACTATTATAAAAATATTCATTTTTTTTTATACTTATAATAAGGGCAAAAATATTAAAATAATCTTATACGCTTTCATTAACCAATAAAATATTAGTATTATTTTTTTTTAATTTACTATAAAAAAATATATATTACTTTTGACACGTTTTTTAGGTGGTATAATTTAAAAAAATTAATAGAAATGATAAAAAAATTACAAATATTTTAAGAAATTTCAAATAAAAACAATAGTAAACACATTGAGACAAATAGAGTAATTTAACAAGAATAACTACTTTGCTAAAAAGACTCACAAATAGAAAGTTCAAATTTATGTTATTAAGAATACTCATTTTAGAATGTACAAAATCGGAAATAATAAAATGTCTAAAATTAAAAAAAAAAAATTAAAAACATAAGCTAAAATTAAAAGTAGTTTGATTTTATATTTGAATTTTTTTAAATATATATATATATATTTGAACATAATAATTAAAGTATTATAAATTTTTAAAAAATACTAGACATATATTTTCTACATTATTAAATATATTTATATAAATATATATTTTTTACGCAATTTTCAATAAAAATATATTATTTTATTACAAAATATCATATCAAAATATTATTTACATAATAATTTAAATCAACACTTCATTGAAAATCAATTTTAAATTACAAGTAAACAATTAAGTGTGCTTGATTTGCAAGTCAAACTAAAATTATAACTATTTATCAGTTATTGTTTTAAATAAAATTATACTAACTTCGTTTCAAAAGAAATGACCCATTTGTTCTGGACATTTGGTATTTAAATAGTGTATATTAGTAAGTTATTAATAATAAATATTATTTTATTTTACTATATTTTTTACAATAGTAATATTGATATTTTAAATATATAATTTGATATATATATATGATTAAAAAGCATTTAATATATATGTTTAAATATTTTTAGTATTATATCTCGTATATCATTTTTTAGTTAATAAAATTTTATATAATACAAATAAATAAAAAAAATATATTTTTATTCATAATTAACTTAAACTAGTTTTATTTTTAAAAAATGAAAATTTTAAATGTAAATCAAAAAATTAAATGGATCATATATGTAAAATATTAAAAATTTAATTAAATTAATATATAGATGTTAAATATAATTAAAATGAAATAATTAAAAATATAAATATGTCATCCGTTTTTAGATGCTATATTCTATTGATATTTCAAATTATTTTATATTATGCAATATTATAATTTTAAAATTTATCATCTCATATATATTCTCATAACTGTCTATAATATAACAATCAGTAATATAAAATAGTAAATATTTTTAGATCCTATTTATTTTTTATGGTATATTAAAATTATTATAAATAATTTTGTTAAATCATCTTATTTTATTTTATTCATATATATACATATAGAGTTAATTTTAAGAAGAAAAAAAAAGTGAGAGTTAAAAAATAGTTTTTTTTTTTTTTTTTAATTGAGAAAAAAATATAAATAATGGGATCCACGCCGTGGTTTCATTTGTTACATATAAACTATTATTATTATTAATAATATTAGAAACAAAATAATAATTTTGGTTTTATAAGTATTTTTATTATTTATTATTTATTTATTTTTGTCAAAAGTTACACAATGTATTTATAAAAAACCATGATTAAGCTTTTTTTTTTTTCCTGTTTTTTAGATAAAAATCAATATAACAAATACTCCCGTCCTATAACAAAGTATCAATTTTTTCATTTTAGTCCGTCCCATAACAAAGTATCATTTCCTTTTTTAGTAACTGTACTTTCTACCTAACGTTACAAATACCCTTACAACTTACAATATATTACACAAATATCATTACCTTTATATCACAAATACTAATAAGGTTATTTTAGTCATTTCTACTTTATTCCTACTATATCCCAATATAATACTAATATTTCTAAAACTAAGTGCAAAAAGCAAATGGATACTTAGTTACGCGACGGAGGAAGTATTAGTCATACTACTATTTTTCTTTGGCATGGAGACTAATAATATGAGAATATAAAAGTGATATGTTAAATTATAATTGAAGTGTTATGAAAAATTTATTAAACAAATAAAAAAGATGTGATGAGACAAATAGAAAAATAGTACTAAATTGATTAATATTTATTTATTATAAATAAATTGTGGATAAATATAACGAACATTAAAAAGAGAATTGACAAAATTATTTCAAACAAAAAAAATATAAAATGTTTGTATTTAATAAAACAATGAATTGCATAATATTTTCTTGTGTTTTAATATAAATGCATAAAATATTTTATTTTTTATTTATTAAGTGAAATATTTTTATATTAAATAAAAGTATGCATAAAACATTGTATTTGTATAAAATTGATGTTTAGCGGTAAATATACATATTATTATGCAAATTTTATACAAATAAAAAAATATATTAAATAGTCTTATTTGAATAAAATAAATAGAAAATAATAGTTCAATTCGTAATTTTATAATTTTTTTACAAATAAGCAATGATGAAACTAGCATCTAAATCTTTGGGGACAAAATATTATAGTTTATTTAATATTTAGAATTATATATGAATTTAAATAGTTTTGAGGGGGACAAACTGTATATAAATACATAAAATTAATATTTTTAACACTAAAAAAATTATAAAAAATTGGATTTTTGGGGTCAATTGACCCCCAAGCCCTAGTGTAGTTCCGTCCCTGCAAATAAGGTAACGTCTGTCTAGAAAAAACTATTAAATAAATTGTTGATAAATTATTTATGTATTTATTTTATTAAAAAAATATTATTTAACATATTTTACCATTTTTATTTTATTGTATAAAATTTGAACGATTAGGTGTTTGTTTACAATCGAATATTAGTTTTAGACGAATAAAATATTGTGTGCTTGATTTAATTTAAATAAGCAAGTTTCATGTGATAAATAACATATGAGATGTTTTGTATATTTTTACCAAAATATAAAAAATATTGCTCTTTACATTCCACCTTATTTGTCTTTTTTTTTTTTTTTAGGAAACTTAGTCATACATTTTAATCAAATTTTAAATTTTATAATGAATAATTTTTTATACACCAAAAAAGTATCAATTTTTTTTTAATAAAATTAATTATACATTAATACCAAAATATCTTTTATTATTTTTTTAAAAAAATAACAAATATATAATTATATATACAATTACTTTCTACGTAAAGTCAAATGACAAAAATGTTACTCCATCCGTCACACTTAATTTGTCCCATATTTCTATTTTCGTCTGTCCCACATAATTTGTCATTTCCTGTTTTTGGAAATATAATTATATACTTTAATCACATTTTAAAATTCATAATTTATATTTTTTTTATTTTAATTAAACTATTTAATCATCTTAATATTAATATATAATTATTTTTACTAATACACTTTTTAATTACTTACCAATTATACAATACCTAAAACTTTGTAGCTAAATAAGCCAATTTAGCTTAAACAAAAAAAATTACTTCCTCCGTCCCACATACCATGTCCACATTGCCGTTTCTGTCCGTCCCATATTCCATGTCACTTTCATTTTTTGGAAAATGATTACACACTTTAATCTCATTTTAAATTTTTTAATTTATTTATTTTTTAATTTTAATTAAACTAATTACTTATCTTAATTTTAATTTATAATTATTTATATTATAGGATAATTATTTCCAGTAATACATTTTTAATTATCTACTAATTACATCCCTCCTAAAATACCGTGTCTACAGTGTAGCAGACACGATATAAATTTTTTATAAAATTCAAAAGTCCCTTTAAATGAAACGATAAAGTAATACTCCTTCCATTCGATATAAATTTAGGTAAAGTATAATTAATAAGTAATTAAAAAATATATTAATAAAAATAATTATAGATTAAAATTAAAATGACTAGAAGTTTAATTATAATTAAAAAAATTATAAAATTTAAAATTCAAAATATATAATAAAAATAATTATAAATTAATATTAAAATAATTAATATTTTTTTAATTATTTACTAATTATTGTAACGAAAACAATAACCGATACGTGTTACCATATATGAACAAAAGTGAGGATAAAAACACATCCAATCACGCATTACGACATCGTGGTTCAATAATATATATATATATATATATATAAATTGAAAGAAATCCACGTGACATTAGTGTGATACATCACGTGACACAAAGGCGCGTTCCACACAATTATTACACAACAAACTCCAATCATTACGGAGCACAAAACACGCCCCCTCCGACACGTCAGCGCCACATCACCACCCCCAAAAATAAATAAATTTATTACAAAAAAGAGAAAACAAACTCCTCGAAAAATTGCAAAAAATAATGGAGAAAAAGCAATGTAATTAGTGTGCAAGAAATCTCTACAACCCTATTTTATTCATTCATTTTTATTTAGTGGGACCCACTTTTTTAATTAAATAAATAAATAATAAAAGAAAAAAGACAAAAAAAATTTCCATATAAAAGGGAGATGATTACTCAAATAATTTCTGTGTCACAAATTTTCTTCAGCAGAGGGAATTAATATTATCGTTTCATTGAAATAAATATTAAAATTCCCTCTCTGATATTTTCTCATAAACAAAATAATAATGGATATCAATTTCTGGATTACTGCTTCTGGAATTCTTGGTATGATAATTAATATATGTAAATTAATTTTTACGTATTTTAATTTATTTATTTTAATTTATTTTTTTATTTTTTGCAGGGAATGCCATTTCCTTCTTTGTTTTCTTGTCACCTTTGTAAGTTTTTATTATTGAAATCAACAATTTATTATTATTATTAATTATTATTATTTTTTCGATGATTTTTTTTTAGGCCGACATTTTACAAAATCCACAAGAAAAAATCGGCGGAAGGATTTCAATCGGTTCCTTACATCGTGAGCTTATTCAGCGCAATGCTATGGATTTATTACGCTTTTCTAAAGCCGAATAGTGTTCTTCTATTCACTATCAACTCGGTCGGCATTGCTACTCAAACGATATACATTTCTACGTTTATTTTTTATGCTACGAAGAAAGCCCGGGTACTAATAGATAACGTTGTTAAATTATTATTTTTTTTAAAAAAAAATAATTTATATATATATATTTAATATTGAAAATTAAATTTTGGTTGTTTTGTAGGTGCATACTTTGATGCTTCTTCTTGCGGATATAGTCGGGATGGGTCTGATTGTCGTTTTAACGTATTTTCTGCAAAAAGGAGCGGCCCGTACTGCGACTGTTGGATGGATTTGTCTCGTGTTCTCTTTGTGTGTGTTTGTCGCGCCTCTTGCTATTTTGGTAAGTTTATATGCATATTATTTTGATTTTTAAAAATAATATAATAAAATTTTATTTTTCGATATTTTCTATTAAGTTTATTTGATTGTTGATGGTTGTGATTTTATTTTTTTATTATTATTTTTTTTTCAGAGACGAGTCATTCGAACTAAGAGCGTGGAGTACATGCCTTTCTATCTCTCATTTTTTCTCACTATTAGCGCCGTTGCGTGGTTCTTCTATGGCTTACTTCGTAAAGATATGAACATCGCCGTAAGTATATTTTTATATATACAAAAATTTGTTTTGTGTATATATATATAGGTAATAAGTTCAATCGATTCGATTATTTATGTATTTTTAAAATTATTTTTAAAGAAATTAAAGAAAATATAAAGTTCATTAATAAGTAAGACTACTTGGTATTATATATCTCTCATTTAGGTCTTATTTATTTTATTGAAATTAATTAGCAGTACTATTTTCATTAAAATAAATAGATTTAAGCGTGTAAAACAACTAATATATATAGTTGTAAAAGTTATTATTTTTAAAAAATAAAATGCTGTTTTTTTTTTTAATTAATAAACAAATAAATAATGTATATATATATGTGTGTTGCATTATTATTTTTCACTTATGCTTTAATGCATTTATTTATTTATTTTCTCTCAATTCCTTTTTTTTTAAAAAAAAAAAAATAATAATAATAAAATAATTTGTAATAGATTTATTTAGAAAGTAATGCAATAATTATTGTGTTGCAGTTACCAAATGTTCTGGGATTCGTGTTTGGATTGATCCAAATGGCGCTGTATGTATTATACAAGGATTCGAAAAAATCAAGTGGTGAAACCAAACAGGGCACTAAAGATCAACAGATTATTGACGTGCTGAAATTGAGTCCCTTCGCTCATACAATGCCGAGTCCAGCAGATACTATTGCCGGTCCCTGGAGCCCGAGGACCGGACCCGGACGTCTCGAAATTACAATAGTAGACCATACCAATGCGTGACAATATTATTACTATTATTATTATTATTATTATTATCTTATCGATATGTTTTGCAATTTTATTACTATTATTATTTTCCGTATCAGACTTTTGTTATGATTATTGATCTTATAATTGTTTTATGGATACTATAAATAAATAAAAAAAAACTCTTGTACTTTTGACATTTGATACATTACAATACTTAATTTCTTCCTCTCAAATAAATCATTTTATTTTATTATTTTTATTCGTCTCAAATTAATTATTTTATTATCCCAAATGATTATAGATATCAATATAAAATTATGTTATTATTATTATTGTTATACGAATGTTACTATATTTTCACATTTGAAATAAAACACACATTGAAAAAAGGTAAGAAAAAAGCTTTTAATCAATATCACTGCCAAATATATCTTTGTATTATTTTTTAAATTATGTGCAAATTGCAATAGGCTCTAAGAAATGGTTGATGGGATTTGATTGGGCCATTTAAGGCTGTGTTTGTTGGGAGATTGTATTAGATTTTTACTATTATTTTTTTTTTCCAAAACATCAAATCAAACCCCTATTTATATCACATCATACAACTATTCAAATTCAAAATTTTTACTATTTAAATCCCAGCTCAAAATTCAAACCCAAAAACTTGATCCAGAATAATATAGTATATTGTATTATCATGTATTGTTATAATATATGATATATATATGTTAATTGTGTCAAATCAACAATATACTAATTTGATTAAATATATATATATATATATATATATGATGGGTTTAAAGATCTCATTCTCATTTTGTAATACTCCTATGCATCATATTTTTTAAAAAATATATAATTAAATTAAATATATAGTATTATATTAAATACTATATATTTATATTAAATTAAATATTAGTTAAATTTTAAATTTCAAGTTTTCTATTTTCAAACTTCAAATTCACTTTCAAGCTCCTAAGTTCCAGCAAACAAATCTATTAAAACTCAGTATAAAAAATCAAAATTCAAAACCAGTATCAATATCATATACTCCCTCAATCCCAATACAATAGTCATGTTTATCATTTTTATCCATCCCAAAACAATAGTCTTATTTCCATAAATAACCATATCACCATAAAACTATCCTTATTTTTTTCATTATTATTACACAATTGTCATTACTTTTTACACTAATACACTCGTAAGGACAAAAAAGTCTTTTACCCATACTTTTTACCTCTTACCAATATAATATCAATATTTTTTAAATCTCATGCCAAACACAATCCAAACTATAGTTTTGGGACGGAGGGAGTATAATTGAAAAACAATTAGAATACATGAGGTATTTAGTATAGAGAATGTAATTGTAAAAATAATTTTATTTTTATTTTTTTAATATAAAAACTATCAAATTTAAATTTTCTTGCTCAAATAAATAGGAAAAACAAAACTATTTTCTTTCTCTCTTCCAAACGCTTCCTTAGTTCTTTTTTAATTTAGTTTTTATTTTTTTACTATAAAAACTATCATGATTCTATACACAAATATATTTTATTTTATATTACAAAAAATCACATACAACCTATTATTAAAAAAAAAAACAAACTCGAAAAAACACATCCAATGTACATAATGTCTTTTTGCATGTCCTTTTGCTAATTTTAAAAATAAAATAAAAAAAATATTTTTTTGAGGCGATTCTGTATATTCAACATTTTAAAGTTAAATAACAGATTTAATGTAATACATTTTATTTTTTTCAAAAATTAAGTTATATAAAATAATGGAAAATACAACCAAACAACACACACTGTTACTTATAAGCACAAATAAATGCTGCCTTCTTTTTGGTAATATGTAAAAAAGTATATATTGTCAGTTAATCCAATCTTTAGATACTCATTCATATACACATCCAACTAAAACACCCTAACCCCACCCCACCCACCCCACCCCCCTATATATGTTTTTTCGTGATTAATTTCTTCCCTAATCTTCCATTAAAGACCCCCAAAACCCATTTACTTACAATTAATTGGCTACCTAACAATATATATATATATATTCAAAAATTTGGTAAAGTGATGAAAATGAGTAAGTTAGGTAAAGCTAGCAGGTAACGGAGGAAACGGAGAAGTGGAAGGGGAAGGTGTTAGCATACTGAAAGGAGAGCGTACGGCCGTTAACTAGAGGCTTACCGTCGTTAACCAGGCAGTCGTCGAAGCCGAGCCGTTTGAATACTCGCGGGTTCACGAGCCGCGCCGAGCTGAACCAGCCGCAGCTGAGATGGACGGCTGAGATGTCGCAGCCGTTAGGGCACACGTTCATGATCTCCACCGTGTACGTTGGGATGCCGTTCGGGAGCGCCTCCGTCGCGCCTTGGCTTATAACAATGTCGGATTTTGAGCACTTGTCACTCCATATACGGCTCGGCTCCACTCTCGGGTTTTCTTCTTCTTCGTCGTCGTCTTTGTTGTTGTCGTCGCTTTTTCGATTTTTCTTCGAATTTGGTGCTGCATGAAAAGAAAAAAAAGAGTTTCTAATGTTACCTAATTAAATAAAATAAACACAAAATAAGTATAAAAAATAAAAAATAGTTCATATATACATATATATATATATATGAACAAACCTGTCTCAAGGTCATCATTTCCTAATTTAGTAATTATACTACCGCCTAAAATAATAAATATCCTTCCAACTTACACTATATTACATAAATGTCATTACTTTTATATTACACAGTACTCCTCATAAGAGTATTTTCGTCTTTTTCATTGTAATCCATTATAATACTAATATTAAAAAATTTATTTGCAAAAAGTAAACAACTTTCATCTCTACAGTACTACTTTAAAAAAAATAATAATAAAATAATAGCATTAAATGTTAATTTTTTACCATTTTTAAATAGAATAAAACCTTCGTATTAATCTCCAATATTTTCTCAAAAAATTATATATATATATATATCAAACTCTACTGTTCAAAAGTAAGTTACTTCAAAAAATAATAATAATAAAATTAAAATACAAAAAAGCTACAAGAAGAAGCAAAAGAAAACAAGTGAACAAACCCTAATTGACTCATTTTAAACACACATATATTACAATTAATATTAATTTTCATATAATTGAATAAGAGTACAAATAAAATCTACAGTATAAAAGAATCAATTCATTTGAAAATAAATTAGTAATAAAAACCATGTGTGGCTATAATAGTATAAAAATATATATATATATATAATTTTTTTCAATATACTCAACTCCCTCTGTATAAAAATATATATAAATAAATAAATAAAAAGCATAAAATCTTAGAAAATGTGTAGTCAATTTCTGGGAAACAAAAGTGGCTAAAATTTGACATATGAAGTCGCTGTTGGAATTAATATTGGACATGTCCTTTTCTAGCAAAAATTCTTGGTCAGATGAAGCACCCAGAATAGAAAAAGCATCAATTGGGAAACACATTTAATAAATAAAATAAAATCAAATATTAAATAAACCAAAAAAAAAGTGGGTGATTTCGACATACAATTTATTGAAATTCAAATTCAAATCCAACTATGAAAGAAGGGCACACGTGCAATGCACGTAGTTGATAGCAACTTGATTAATGCAGCGGAGCACCTAAGCTAAGCTGAATAATTAACCACCCTAAAGAAAATTATTAAATATATAAATTCCATGCAATAATAAATCAATCAATAAATTAATTAAATAATAGTGCAGCTGTGGTCTAATCAAAGAGCAAGACCTTAGGAGGGGTGGGTGGGGGTGGTCATATTGGGAAAACGACACGTAGTGAAAAAAGCTGAAAATGGCGCCACCTAAATGTGGGCAGAACCGTACGAGACAACTGAGAGAAAAAAAAAAAAATAGAGAGAGAAAAGAAAAGGAGGCAGTAGTGGTGGTGGTGGTGGTGGTGTGCAGTAGGAGCATGAAGCACAGTGGACAGGACTCTGTGTTGTATGTAAACATGCTAAAAAGCAACGACATGAGCAGAAAAACAACAGATGATGCAGCAGGAGGAGGCAGCAATACATATATGTATATATATACTTGCACATAAGCCAAATTAAAGCTTATGTGTTTATATATATGTATATATGTATATGTGTATGGATTTGTGTAGGTGTGTATGTTTTCGCCATTGTTATTAATGAATGATGGAGTTTCAAAAACTGTGTACCAATGGAAGGCGATGTGCGCAGCAAATATTAATGATGTATCTATCATGGAATCAGAGATAATGCAGCAGTGGTTTTTTACCGTGATTAAGCAGCTTCCGGTGGGGATTTGAGAGAGTGATACAACTTTTGTTCTGGAGACCGCCTGGGATGCTTCTCGTTCGAGATGCAGCTTGCATAAACTCTACGCGATGATCTGAGATTTGGGGCAATAGAAATTGAAAAATCGACATGGAAATGGTGTGACGAGTTTGCGTAGCAAATCGGAGACCGTATACATACATATATATATAGATATATGAATGAGCGTATACAGACCTTCATAGACGTCAATGATTACCAGCAACACCGCGACGGCAAACACCGCCGGAAACAAAGCCAATATCCGCCGCCGGAGCAATGACGAGGAATCACGGTTCATAATTTTGTATTCAGATTCGGATTCGGTTAGCAGTTGCAGATTCGAAGGAGAGTGAGTAACAGTGATTGGAAGGTAGCAGCTATGGCCTAAGCACAGCTGGAAGAAGCTACGTAGCAAATCAACGCCATCACCGAAGGAACTGCACACATCGATCGATTAATCTTTGACTGTAATCCGAGACAGGAGGAAGAAAAGCAGCGATATGATTTGACAGCTTCGATCTCACCGCAACCATAAATCCTGCACCATGAAAACGTCAAACCATTACTATTCAAACCTTCCAAACCGCAATCACGAATCAAATACGAAGATTCACAAAAACATACACACAGAAAACGAATCCGCTCAAAATGTTCAATCAGGAGAGGATATTAGGGCATTTGACCACGAAAACACAACCGACTGATTTTACATATATAGAGCAAAAGGAGAGTGTTCGTTCGACGAAAGTCCATGGAATTTTTCCTCTGAATCGAAGCATCAGTAAAGGAAACTTTCCCCGACATTGCTTTTAACATTAGAGCTCCGGGAAGCGAGCACGCAGCCGAATTTTCGCCAAGCTCAAAGCTCCTTTTCCTTTCCCAATTAATGCTAACGCAGAAATTGGATTCAGAAACGTATCACTAAACAACCGAAAATTCCAACAAAAATCCAAACGTGCCTACGTCGTATAAACACAGATAAATGCAAACATCGCAGGAGAGAGCATTCAAAGCCAAAATTACAAAAAAATAAAAATGTAAACATCACAGAGTAAGAGACGAACAAACAAACAAACAAAAAAACAACACAGACGTTTCCAGCAAAGGTGCAGCAGCAGCACATTCTGAGATCTCCTTCTTCCGTCTGTTTTTTTACCTTTGAATTTGCAGTGGTTTTGGAGGTAGCGAACAATCAGCTCCGATCCGCGTGCATGATCCTTTATGTATATATATATATAAACTAGAGAGAGAAAGAGAGGGAGGAGAGAGAGAGTATATATGTAGGGTTTTGGGGGAGAAGGAAGTGTGGGGGAAATTAATTTTGTGGTATATATATAATATAAGGAAAGATGCGGATTTAATGAGAAATAATGACAAAACCTACAAACTGCACGTGCTCCTAATTAATTAAATTAAATTAAATTTATTTATGGTCTTGGTTTGGTGGCCGATCGCATTGTGTAATTACCAATTTATCCTCATGCTTAAATGCTTTTATCCTATGCATGGGTTTATTTATTTTAACAAGTAGATGGAATTGAATGAAAGAATTGAGTGTGTTTGGTTTATAATATTTAAACAGTGATTAGATATGAAATAAAATACACACTATTTTTTTAAAAAAAAAATTATGAAAATTATATAATATAAATAAATTGAAAAAAATAAATAAATGAAATAGGTGATATAGATATTATGAATCAAATTATTTATATTAGAAAACTAATACTCTCTCCGTCTCAATACAATAATTTTATTTATCATTTTTGTTCGTTTCAAAACAATAATCTTATTTCCATAAATAACAATATCACTGTAAAACTATCTCTACTTTTTCATTTATATTACACAATTGCCACTATTTTTTATACCGATAAACTCACAGCGCAAAAAAATCTTTTATCCATACTTTTTATCTACATTGAATTTTGGGTTCGTTCGACAAATCTTCGATGACACGATTTTTTTTATAATATTACAAAAAATATAATATATACATATATTAACACAATATATAATGTATATTCTATTTAGTCATAAAATTAATAATTCAATGCAAAATATTATTTTTACAATGTTCTAACATAAAAAATTTAAAAAAATTATTAAAAATACAAAGTGAACATGAAAATTTTGATAATAGTAATTTTTTTATTATTATTCTTTTTTATGTGTTGTTTCTTGATAGAAATAATTATTTGTAATATGATTATATTTCAATTTTATTCATAAATAATGTCAATTTTTTTTAAAAAAATGTGTATATAAATAGTCATATATATTTTGTTACACACTTATGTGCTTGAATATAGATATATATAATATAGCAGGGTATTATTGGAATAATATTCTGCAACGCAACGGATGGATGTTGTAAATGGCTAACACATATTTGGGTTTCTTCTAATTATACAAAAATATTATTCACCTAAATTAATGTCTTCTTTTTTTTCTCAGTTATTTAAAATATTCTTTTTTTTTTTCAAAAAAAAAATATTAATTTTTTTTCTTACTATTAAAAAATAAAAAATACACTGTGTATTAAAATCATATCCACAAATTTGAGTATATGATAAAGGAAGTATAATATACATATGAAACCATGTTTTAATGACAAAGAAACTACTCATTCCGTCCAAGAACTATAATTTTGGTTGTGTTTGGCACAAAATTTAAGGAATATTGATAGTAGGTAAAAAGTACATATAAAATACATTTTTGCCCTTGTTAGTGTATTAGTGTAAAAGGTAGTGACAATTGTGTAATAATAATGAAAGAGTAAGGGTAGTTATATAGTGATATAGTTATTTATGGAAATAAGACTATTGTTTTGAGACGGACAAAAATAGTAAATAAGACTATTGTATTGGGACGGATGGAGTATAATATACATATGAATCTGATATATATATTCTGCAACGCTATTTTTAAATTGCGATTTTTAAAAAATAGTAATAATAAACTAAAAATATTATATACAAAGGTTAAAAATTAAAAAAAAAAATATATCATAAAAAAAAATTAAAAAGTCAAGCCTAAAATAATATATTGTATTTTATATTTTTGACATAGTTCCTCGTACCGCACACCAAAAATTATTTCATCCAAAGACGTTGGATGAACGAACGATTATATACTATTTTTTTAAAATTAGTTTTTTCGGATTAAAAATATTTGTTAATATATTTTTAAGTAATAACAATTAAATTGAATCCTAGTGGAGACATTTACTTTTATTTTTGCTGTTGTTTTAATAATATTACAATAATGTGTGTGTTTTTAGTATTTATAGTTTAAAGTATTTTTATTGGCAAAATAAGAAAAATTTACATAATGTTTTGTATATATTTCTATCAACTTTTCGGTAAAATTGCTTATAACTCTCCTGTGGTTTCGAAATTCAGCATAAAATCTCCCTATATTTTAAAAATAGCATGGTACCCCCTTATACTTTAAAAAACGTTGCATGAAACCCCATCACCATGAAACTTTCCTCGTGTGATAAGAAGATGATTTTCTATCTATATGTTTTGTATGACAGGGGGATTTTATGCAATATTTTTTAAAGTATAAGTGAGAGTCATGCAATTTTTTAAAGTAAAATGGGGATTTATGCTGAGATTTGAAACTACAAAGTGGTTTCATGCAACATTTTTTAAAGTATAAGGGGACATCATGCAATTTTTAAAGTAGAGAGGGAATTTACGCTGAGTTTCGAAACCACAAGGGAGTTATGGGCAATTTTGCCCAACTTTTGTAGTATATGTTATATTTTTATATAATACTTCTTCCGTCTTAAATACTGTGCAATATTTCATTTTTGGTATGTCTCAAACACTCTGCAACATTTCTAAATTAGAAAATAATTAATTATACTTAATTTATATCCCCACACTTTATTCTATAATATCACTCTAATAAAAAAAATAAAATATACACTTCTCTCTCCATCACATCACCTAATTACTCAATTATCCTACTTAATATTTCTCACCTAAAATTTCGTGTCCAACTTAAATGTAGCACCTTGTTTGAGACGGAGGAAGTATTTTTTTTAAAAAAAATGTGTAAAATGAAACATCACTCTTAATTTTTATACCAAAAAAATATGTAACCACCAAAATTTATTATTGATCTAAAGTAGATCATCTTAGAGAAATTTTTATTGTCACATTTCCATTACCTTTATAGTTATCTTATCATTTTTTATATAACAAGACTTATTACATTTATTAATAAATACAATTATCACCTCCATATTAAATTTTGTAATAATAAATTATATCTAATAAATATAATAAAAATTATTTATCTATTTAACTATTACCTAAATTTGAAGTTATCAACAATTTGTCTATATAAATTTAAATTCATTTCAAAGTATTTTAATTTTTATTTTATATATATATCACTTTTCAATATTTAGATTTTTTTAATTCAATTTCAAGGAATTAATAAATAAAAACAATATCTTCAGCTAGATTTTTAACAAAACTGTAGAAAACAAAAGTGCTTTGGATGATGCATTAATCTAAATTTATTTTAATTATTCAAATTTTTAAATGTCACTAATATCATAAATTTGAATAATTTTTAATATTTTAAAATAAAAAAAATACATATATATAATATTATCACAATTAATATAAATTAATATCTTGAAACTAAAATATAATATTATATCAATAATTTGAATATTAATGTGAATGAGAAAGATAAATAATGATGGAGTAGAACCGATCAATATTCCCTCTGACCCGCATATTATATCAAGGTTTTTCTATTTATGTATATTTTACATTATGTCATTTAAAAAAATAATAATAATAATAATTACGCACTTTAATAGCATTTTAAATTATATTATTTATAATTGATCTAATTTTAAAAAATCAATTAATTATCTTAATATTAATTTATAATTACTTATATTATAATATAATTAATTTTATTAATATTTTATTAATTATTTATTGATCATATTCTTTTAAATTTTTTATCTACAATAACTATAACATTATATCTGAGACGAAAGAAGTACAACAGATACCCTTTTAAACAAAAACCACACCACAAACATACCAAACTACATTTTAAAAACATAATACTCCCTTCGTTCCATTGAAACGTTACCATTTTTATTTTCGTCCGTCCCAAAACAAGATTATCATACTACCTACTTAATATAATAAATACCCCTTCAACTTACAATATATTACACAAATGCCATTATTTTTATATTACACTATACTAATAGGTGTATTTTTGTCTTTTTACTATAATCTAATATAATATTAATATTCAAAAATATAAGTGTAAAAAAAAATGTCACCCTTCCAAGAAAGGGAGTATATTTCTTCCATTCAATCAAAAAATATTCTATTACTATTTTTATTTGTCACATCAAGAGTATTTATTTTTATTATAATAAAAATAATTACAAACTAATGTCGAAATACCTTTAATTTTTTATCTGAAACTGTAATGAATTTGAGCTCGAAATAATTACAAACTGGATACAATAACAACAATTTGTAGGATTATTAATACAATCCTCACTCCTAGTATTATTTTATCTTGTGTAATAAAACACTCCCCCGTCTCTTAACCATCTATCCATTTTTTTATTTTGGTCTGTTACATGACAAAGTATCTATTTTCTTTTTTTAATAACTGTACCATCTACTTAACATTACAAATATCCTTTCAATTTACAATATATTACACAAATATTACAAATATCCTTTCAATTTACAATATATTACACAAATATCATTGTCTTTATATCATCCATACTAATAGGACAAAAACATAAATTGATATATAGATATAGGACGGAGGGAGTATCTAATAGTATTTCTTTTTACACATTTAAATTCATTTTATACAAATACAATAACATTTTTTTGTTTAATATTTATTTGAAATATATTTTTATTTAATTTTTGAAATATAATTTATTATTACAAAGAAATGAGAATTAGACAATAAAATTAAAAAGAAAAAGAAGAATAGAATTACAAAAAGTAAGAGTTAAAGAATTAAATTGGCGAAAAAGCTAAAATTAGTAGATATTAATTATTTTGTTTGATAAAAAAATAAATTCAGCTGAAAAATATAAAAAATAATATAAAATTTATTTGGTAAAATAGAAAATTTAATTAAAAAAGTAAAAAATAAATGATTAATTCGAGTTTTAACTAAGTGAGAATCCATGTATTTTTGATAACTTATTTTTATTTAAATAAAAAATTAGATATGATAGTTTTATAAAATCATATTTTAGTGTAATCTTTTTTAAAAATAGTAAGATTTAAATAGTCAAATAATAAACTAAATATAATATTTTGTAAGAATGAAATAATACAATTTAAAAAATTATAAAAATTAAATAGTAAAAATATACTCCGCTTAAAATAGAAATATAGAACTATAGAACTATTTCTCAAATTATAAATCTTCCATTTCAAACATACAATGCTCTCAATTCCCTATACCAATCACAACCCAAAAGATTATAATCTTATCCCTTAAGGGTGTGTTTGTTTGGGGGATTGGATTGGATTTACACTATTCATTCCATTTTTTTCCCCCAAAAATATCAAATCAAACACCTATTTTTTTTTATTTTTTATATTATACTAAAAATCAATTTTACATACAAAATATCACATCAATATTTATTTATATCACATCATACAACTATTCAAATTCAAAATTTTTGCTATTCAAATCCCAAGTCAAAATCCAATACCCCAAACAAACACATCCTAAATAAACACACCGTTATACCTAACGAAAATGTCAAAATTATCTTACACACTTCCACTGAATGATAAAATATTATTATTTTTTAATCTACAACTAAAAATCCAAATAAATACCTTCGTCGAGACAAAGGTAGTACAATAGAGCGGAAACAACCGAAAACAAAGAGAGTGAAACTCAAAATTACTCATGGAAGGCATTACAAAGCCAAGTAGAACAATAACAAAGAAGAGAATATAAAAAATAATATATGTTCGAAAATTAATAATTTATCGGCATATTTGAAGATAAAGTGAGCGTTTAACTTCCCTGTTGGAGACGTTTCATGATCATGAGACTCATGTCCATATAGCGCTGGGCACAGTTCGTGAGGCAACTGGATTCACTCGAGCTGAACTTGTTCCCGGGAGTGCCCGTGATGCATTTGTCCCAGCATGTTGATGTAAGTTTCCCGATCATTTCATTCACCATGGCCTTTTCCTTTTCTTGCTGTAAATATTAGGGAGTTAGAATCGAATGTTGCTAGATAACTAATAAAATTGTGACGGAAATAATGGAAGGATAACCAGCGAAAGCATATGGAGGATGCCGAGAATTCTAGAATGAAAAGATGCCGATGGCTAATAGTTGTGGGATAATCGAATGAAACGACAACATAAATGATTCTATGTAATTCCTTCAACATGCCAAGGCCACTTATAGAGTAGGGTTTTTTGTTTATATCTATATTCAATCTCTATTTCCCTCGGAAAAAATATTTTATCCAATGTCTATTTTTTATACAAACAATCACATCCAGCGACTATTTCATCTAAAAAACATCGAAACTAAAACCTTTATAAAAGAGAGAAGAAAGAAAACAAGTAGACAAGCACCGGCTCTTTGCTCTTAACACTATGTTAAACAACAATCTTGCCTAGAAGTTATTCAATAGAAAGTTACATCATATTGGTAAAAATTCATTTTGGTCCTTGGAGATAACTTAATCCTTATTCATCCATTTTGTTAAATTTTGGTCTGTTTGACAATCACATTCAATTGCAACAGAATCGATCATTTATTAGGTGAAAGAATAGCGGAAATACTTCATTACTTTGTCCCCAAACACGCACCTACCCCAAAAACCAAGCTCATTATGTTTCAAGTGAATGGGAATAGTAAAAAGATCAAAATTGAACAAAAATGTGAATTAGCACCAAAATCGCCCCCGGTTCATGGATAAGAATCCTTTTCACATAAAACCCTATGGGTTCAAGCCAGAAAGAAGTTCTATGGTCAACACAAAAATTGAAGGCAGAAGTCAACCAGATGGATCTGAAATGGAATTTAACCTTAATTGTATATCATGAGAAACTCACCTTGAAAGATGTTTTGAAGACCACAATAAAGGGATTTACTTTGAACTTTATTTTACTTAAATGATAAAATTCTATTATTTTGAACTCTAGCATGTTTAGTAAAATCATATATAATGTAAATTCAATTCACCATACTCTCTACTTAGATGTTACTCAACAAGACAAGCATGGACTTTATTCATATGCTATAAACAATCATATTTTTATACGGGTTGCTTGAAGATGAACAATCCCAGGATTCAACTGAAGTTGAAATTTTAAATAAATTTCATAGACGTGTTAGCATAAATCATGTTAACAAGGAGTCCCTACCCTACCCCATTGATCATCAAATCAGATTCTTCTTGATTTTTAGCAAGCAAATACTCTGTATATCAAGCAATTTCTTTTAACTGATAGCTTGTTAATAAAAAATAAACAGAAGTATTCAAAACAACACGATAAAATTAAATAAATAGATGAGTAATTTGAAGGCTATAAGTAAAAAAATACAACTTTGGCTTTAACTTATTTCGAATGACTAAGGACTTAGAAATTAAATCTTATCCATAATCAATATTTAAAAGAGATTATCAGATATACTAAAGCAATTCAGTGATGAAACAGCAAGTCAATGGAATGGAATTTGGTTCGTGTTCTGCCATTAGCATAGAATGATGGAATCAGACATAGTTTGAAGCTCCAACACCCACACCAACTGAGATTTTCCTAACTTCGTCCAATAAAAACATGCTAGACCGTCCGAAGCTGCTATTACAACAATGGTGGAAAATCTTAGGGTTCGACGGATCAAAAAATTTCAACCAAACAACACAGACAAGAAGCCAAAATACACACCGTAAAACACCATTCCTCAACAACTTTCTTCCAACATATTAATCAAAACACTGGTATCCTACCATTTCTATACAAATTCATCACATCGAATTGCAACCGAACAAAAATACACACACATATACATACATATACACATATATATGCATTAACAAACTTACATTAAGAAAGTGCTGCAATTCGGGGGAATTAAGCGATGAAGGATCCATTGCAAATGTAGAACGAATTCAGCGACAGCACTTCAATTTGGAGTATAAAAACCCTAACAAAACCATTATAAGCGCCGGAACAGATGCTGGACTGGGCCGAATATGTGGATTTGGGCCATAATCCGGGTCGGGTCGAGTGTGTGGGTTTAGGTAAAGAAAACGGGCTTGGACTAGTTGTTACATTCTGGTCTTCATTGTTTATTCAATATTTTCAAAAAACCTTTTTTTTTAAAAATAAAAATAAAAATAATAAAAAATAAAAATTCTTCTGTCCAAATATTTTTGCTACATCTACTTTTGACACCTTTTTTGAATTATTATAATTTGATAAACTTTTTATTGAAATCTGAATTATTATTATTATTATTATTTCTTTATATTTGTGTGTGTAATATATTGAATGAAGTGTAGGTATTTGATAGAAATTTTTTTAGTGAATAATGTGTGTTTGTTTTGTATTTTAATATTTTTTTACGTGAAATATGAGAAATCGTGTAGATAAAACAACATAGTCACTGAATTTATAATTGAATTAATATCGTCAATAGTTATTCATATTATGAATTTATAATGAAATTAAAAATACAATTCATGATACTTTCAATAGAATTTCGTAATTTTTCCTCCATATTTTTACCTACAAATTTATACATATGAAAGAAAAAAAAAAATAAAAATTAAAACACAAGTTTTCATATTTTCATCTTATTGTAAAAATATATTATTTAATATTTTAAATACCAAATGACAAAGAGTAAATAAAGTGCAACATCCTTTTTATTCTTTTCTACTATTTTCAATCACAAAATTTCTATAATCATTTTTATTATTTTTTATCATAATTTTTTTATAATTTTAACATTCAAATTCAATATTTTTACTATATTCAGCATAATTATATCTACGATGTTTTAATTTATTATAAATTCTACATTATTTTCCTACACTCGTGCCCGTCTTTATATACAAAAACACATAATTTTTCGATACGTTCCTCTATCTAAGTATAGATTCGATCTTATCCATTCATTTTTCATCTGTCATGTCCGAACGGAATGCGAATCATTCCCTCTACGCATGATCTTCCCTAACCATGGGATGCAATGCTTCAAGAATCGAAGCCAACCACACCGTCGTTGTCACTGCCGTCGCCACCACGATAGGTTTGCCGACGAAAATCGGGCCGATATCTATAATCCGTCGAAATCGCAAAAATCTCCTAAATGAAGAAGATCCCTCCTTGCAATATAGCATCAAATTATCGCGGGATTTGCCTGTGACAAGACAATTTTCCGAGAATATTTGTAATAATGATGGCAAAAAGTCGAAGGACAATGAACGGATCGTGAGAAATGAGTCGGATGAGAATTCGTCGAAAATGTTGGATTTTTTGACAGATGACGAGGATGAAGATAATGACGAGGATGAGAGAGTCATATGTTATAAAAGATCTCCGAGTTTTCGATATTATTTCAGCAACAATGAAAGTGACGATAGTCCTAATGGTAAGAAACTTTTTTTCTTGGTAATATTGTTGGTGTCCTATAATGTTTTTGTTTGAAAAAAAAATATTATATTCGATTTTTTTTTTTTAAATGTTACATTCAATTTTTTTTTTATTTAAAAAATAATTTTAATATTCTAAAATATATGTTTGATACTGTAAGAACAATAGGGTGTGTTTACTTCAGTAAAAATGAGATTAGAGAAATGAATCTTATTTCTCATGTTTGATTAAGCAAAAGAATATGAAGTTGAGAAATAAATATTTTTTTATTAACTCATTTAAATTCTATACAAAATATCGTATCTAATTTATTATTTAAACAAAAAAAGTCATCAAAAATATTTTTCATAAGTTTTCACTCGTTAAAACTCTCTTTTGCTTTTATTCTAGATCGATCCATCCAAATAACGATATTTTTTAAATATTTTTTAACTGAATTATTTGTTTTTACCCAATAGAATTCTCTACTGAATTCTTTTCTCTGTAATTTTATTCATTATTCTCATCTCTGTGCAATTTCATTCTCTATATTTAACGCTCTTTAGAGTTGTATTGTACGATAGGATATAATACATACTATTATTCTAATAGATTATATAATTCATTATTTACTTTAATTAATTATTATATAAGATTATTAATTTTGTCTAAAGTACCTTTTATTATATAATAAAATTAATAAGAAGTTAGTACTTATAAAAGATAAAATAGTTTTTGGATTAATATTAATAATACATGTGTTTGTTTGGATGTTTGAATTTTGAGTTGGAATAAAGATTTTGAATTTGAATAGTTGTATAATGTGATATAAATAAATATTGATGTGATATTTTGTATGTAAAATTGATTTTTAATATAATATAAAAAATTAAAAATAAGTATTTGATTTGATATTTTTTTTAAAAAAAAATTGATAAATAGTAAAAATGCGACAAAATCTTTGAAAAAAACACACATTGGGAGATGTAAAAACTATGTAGATATAATTGGGCGGAGAGATTGGGAAAAGAATTTGATGAATATGGTGTGTTTGTTTTGTGAGATTTGTTAGAAAAGTAAAAAAATTTTATCGTAACGTATAAAAAATTGTATAGGGAATATAAAATTAACGAATGTGTATAGTGTATTAATTTAAAAAAAAACGAAAAAATTAGAAAGAACACATATGTAATTGTTAAAGTGGAATAGATAAAAAAAAATAAAATGAATATATTATAGAAAATTATTAAAAAATTGATAAGAAAAAAATAATGGGATAAGTAAAAAAATAATAACAAATTGATTATTATTTATTAAAATAAAAATAGTAAAATTGTAATAAATAAAGTTATTTATTATAAATAATTATATATGAATTAACGAACTAAAAAAAATAATTATATAAGTTCGAGAGAACGAATATATATTATTTAATATAACCAATAAAAGAAGAACTAATAATCCATTAAAAAAAGAAAAAAGACTTAATAATCTTTAATTATGATACCACAATTATATCATATATTCTATTCGTCCGTCTGCCTCTAACAGTCATATTTATTTTTTGCTTCATTGTATTTAACATTAAAAATATTATTATATTTGTATAATTTTTTTTACAAATATTCTTCTATTAGTATTATAAGACACAATAGAAGTATTTTTACATTTTTTTTAATTTGTATAACATTTTGTTATAATAATTAATATTCAAAAATTAACAAACAAAAAATAAATTGGACTCTTAGAGCCGAACGATGGTAGTATTATTTTATCTCGAATTATAATAATATACAATAAACATATTATTAAATTAAATTAAATAATAGTATTTATTATAATCATCTAAATTAAGTACATTTGTTTTTTTATGACGAGAAAACCGTAGTCGCTATTCGAAAGTGCGCGCTAGATAAACCTCCAATCGAACCTAATACCCTGCAAATTAGACCCGACGGAAAAATCGTAACATCTTTTTCCACTAATTTTTTTCATTTTTTTATGCAGGAGACAAATATGATGATGTATTTGGTGATGCAAATTCAACCTTGGAAGGATTTTCACCGTCCAAGGTAAATTTAATTATACTTCATATGTTTATTTATTTATTTTTTTTCTACGAGAATATATATATTTAAATTTGACTTTTCATTTAATTACTATATATTGTTTCATTGTTTTATTCATATATTCAACTTATTAGTATTTTTATTTCACCTTAGTAATTGGTTCTTTTAATATTTTTATAACATTTTATGTTATAATCAATTTATTGTAACTCTTATAAACATATATTTTGTGGGAGAGTGAAAAAAAAAAAAAAAAAACACTATATATATTAAATTGACTATTTAAATATAAATTAATAAAATACTATATATATATATGTAGTTTGTATTAGCTAAAAAGTATTACTACATATAAAATATTGAGAACTGTGAAATTATTACTAAAACTTTTATATATTTTATAAAATAAAATAAAATATTTTAATATAAAATAATGCATCGTATTTTTGTATAATATTTTGAAAAAAAAAAAACATTTGTGAATAAAAAGACTTGTAAACAATTTTTGCTAATTACATGAATTTGACATATATAGTAAAATTAACTGTATATATATGTATATATTTATATGTATTTACCTTAAAATAGTAGTTTAATTTACCTATTTATTTAATTATTCTGATTTTGTTAGGGTAAAATATGATTTTATTTATTTATATATTTATTTCAGGAAGAGCAAAATAAAAAAGGATTACTTAAGAAAAAAGGTGGAGGAAGGGTGAAGATTGTTATGGCTATCTCAAAGAAAGTTTTTAAAAATAAAATCATGAATAGTAATCGTCATTGTCATCATTCCCCTAATTAAATAATTATACTATGTTTGTAGTACTACCTTTATTTTATTCAATTTATAAAATACTTTCCTCGTTCCAATCAAAAATATTATTTTTAATTATTTTTATATATCATTTATAAATATGTTATTTTATACTTCCTTCGTTCCATAATTAAATATTTATTTATATTTTTTTACGTAATTTTAGAAATATTAGTATTATATTGGGATGTAGTAGGAATAAAGTAAAAATGACTAAAATATTTTTATTAGTATGTGTGATATAAACGTAATGACATTTGTGTAATATATTATAAGTTTTAAGGGTATTTGTAACGTTAAATAGATAGTACAATTACTAAAGAAGAAAATAGATACTTTATTATGGGATAGACTAAAATGGAAAAATTAATACTTTGTTATGAGACGGATGAAAGTAATAAAAATAATCACATATTAACACTAAAATATTATACATTTTTACATAAATTATATACATACAATTATACATATACATAAAGTAAAAGACAGTCTTGTAAGGAATTGTCTGATAATGTGTGGATGGATCCAAGACCGTCTCCGGGTGTTACTAATTACACATGGTTCGTCTAGTATAATTTGTCTTGTCGAGCTTAATTTGCAGGCAGGTTTGGTTGTGGGTTTCCCGCTCCCACATTATCAAAAAAATAAAAAATAAAAAATACAAAGTCAA